TTTCGTCCTGTTTCACTGATATACTTTTGCTCACAGTTTCCGCATTTGATGCGATAAACTCCCGAACATTATAGTTTTTCTGTCTTCTCGTGTTGTGTTGGCAGACCGGTGAAAAGTGTTTTCTTCTCTTTTGTTATCACCCTGATATTCCATTATCTTAATAAAGGTCGCAATTGTTGGCTCAGTTGTGATAAGAGCAAGCAAATCCACTTTTGGTTGTTATCCTCATAAAATCAAAGTTTAAATCGGCCCTTTATTATCGCTACAGTCGCTCCTCCCCTATCCGTCTGAAGAACTATTTGATCATTCATTTGTAATTCTTTCTCGAATACCAGCCAATCTGCCCTATTTTATCGGTTTTTGATGTGTCAGGATTCGTAGGATTATTTCCAGTTCCCTCTCCCGCCTTTTATCTTCTGGATATTTATCTTTTATGTTGACAACTTCCACCAGAATATCACTAAGACCATCTCCTTAATTAGTTGGTGAAAAATGTAACCCCTTCAAGAGATTTGTGGTTTCAGAATCAAGGGGGATTGAAGATAGCTTTACAACCTTTGTCCTATCGTCGACTATAGCAGTTGATGCCTTCAATAAAGAACCATCACAATTTGGCCGGGTTGGCTTGGTCTTTTATCGTCTTATTATCCCATAGCTAAACAATTTCTTGTCATGTCGCTTATTTATCAGATCCTGGACCCTCTGTGACTTCTAGTTGGTCATGCTCTGGACTTTTTTTGAAAAGCATCCAAAGCTAGAACCCTACCTAAATCCTTCTGTAATCTAGATTTGAGATATGTGAAGTTAAATAGCTTACGCCTCTCAGTCTCGTAACCTTCCTCTAATTTCTGGATGGAGGCGTGATAAATTATTTCATTAACTGTGTCCGAATGACACTTCCTCATTAGATTGCAGAAGCGGGGGGCGATACCATAATGTTGTCAACAATTAAAAAAGGCCAAATGGCAGGATTGACTTACAATTGTCTTCTTTGTCCGGCTGTAATTAGCGCATTGTTTGGCAATATTACTTCCATATTTTAAACGAAGGTATGAAGACCAAGATGGTGTGTCCTTTTGTGTGGTCGCAGTCTCCTTTTGTCGTTGTTTGACCTTGTTTTCGCAACATGGTCATATTAGTAGAAAGACTCAGAGGAACGCAGCTAGTCCGGAGTCCATTGTCTGCATGATCATTTCCAAAGTCAAACCGTGGACTTGGTACATTCCCAAAACGTTTCGCCGGCATCTTCAGTGAGTATCGCCATTCTTAGTACAATACTACAACTCGTCAAAGAAATAAGTGAAGCTCTGCCTCAAACCTTTGACAGCACGTATACACCAGCCTCACTGAGCAAACCCCTAAAGTCTGGATTCTTATTTGGCATGACAACCTGACTTAATGCTACAGATTCCCTAATGATTGTGGGGTATGTGCACTGAGTAAATCTCGTGGTCAAACCCTTACTTCATGGAATACATCCATGAGCAAACTTATCTACTAATAGCTAACTAGAAATGGCGATTGTTTCTCTCGCTCTTCTATACTTAATGCCAAGTCTATGACTTTCTATTGCGTGCCGACCCCAAAATATGATTGTTCCACTTGATTTGAATAGGCTCCCTGTAGACATCTTCTCTTAGTTTCCGATTGTTCTTCTCTGGTCTCCTCGTAATTTCTTTTTCTAAAATTAATAATATTACCTCTATCCTTTCGTCTTCTTTTTACCGATATTTCTGTTACCTGATCTCCGAATTTGTTTATCCAGTATGCAAAGTTTTCGATAATCCTATTTATTAGATTTCTTCCAGTCAGGATATCAATGACTTCTCGTATCTTGCGTTTTATTGTGGTTCCACCATATGTAGCCAGCCTTTGTATCGATTTCGTGTCCTTTCCGTGCGATGTGCTCCGCTATTAAGGATCTTCCAGTGTCCATGTTTCTGTTGATTATTTGGTGTTTCTTGATTCGTAGGCTGATTATTCTTCCTGTTTCACCAATATAATTTTGCTCACAGTTGCCTTATTTGATGCTATAGACTCCCGAGCAATCAAATTTGTCAACCTTCTCGTTTTGCGTCGGCAGGCATTTTATTTGCAAATAGTTCTTCAAGCAGATAAGAGAGGTGCGACGGTGATAATGGATAGGTAACAATACATGTATAAAATGAAATATCAAGGCGATGGCAAAAGAAAAGGCAACACCTTTTACAAGCCTGCCGACGCAACACAAGAAGTTTGACAAACTTGATTTATCGGTAGTCTATAGCATTAAATGCGGCAACTTATATATATCCATAATATTTGTGGGTTGGCGCACAAGAAACTAGGACATATGAAGTCATAGAATTCGCATTATGGTAAGAATACATGCATGCGGTGGATACTGGAGCTAGTTTGCTAATAGTGTACGTGTTTGGTCGTAGACGTGGTCCGTGAAGCAAAGGCTAGATAATGAGAATCACTCGGGGTGCATTTTGAACGGTTATAAGGGGCTATATAGTCTCAATTTAGTCTACTATCCATGTATGAAGACCAAGATGGTGTGGCCTTTTGTGTCGTCGCAGTATTCTTTCGTTGTATAGAAGTTGTTTGACCTTGTTTTCGTCGAATCCGTGGACGTGGTACATTCCCAGACGTTTCTCCGGTATCATCAGTGAGTCTCGCCAGTCTTAGCACCACAACAACTCGTCAAAGAGACAAGTGAAGCCGATCCTTTGACCAAACGTGTGCTAAACAGTTGTGGCATCTCCCCTTATGCCCTGGGCTATTCACATTTCATATATCTTTCCACCACGCCTTTACTCTTACAATTTTTACCGTGCTTATTTCCATGTAGTGTGGTGTGCTCCTTCGAGCGGAATTAATGAAAACCCTTCACACTCAATGATGTCGTTCTCACCACTTCACCTTTGTGCTGGGAATGTCTGCCATATTGTTACGCCGTCCTCCTTCCCTAGGTCTTATCATAGTCTCTCTCTTATCCTGTAGGATCCATCTTCTATCTGCCTGTTTCACGTATTTTACTCGACCCCTGCCACCCCATCTGTGCTTCTCGAGGCGTTATTCGCCCTCCCCTGCGTCTGGGTGACTAATTCGAGGCTAAGGCCTCTGATTAAGTCTCATGGTCACGGCTTTGCTACATGGACCACGTCTATGGAAAAAAACAGACCTACTGTCAACCAAATAGCTCCAGTCTCCGCCGCGTCGATCATGTTTCTATCCCTAATACCAAGTCTATGACTTCTCCCTATGTCCTAGTCTCTTGTGTGCCAACCCAAAAACGTTGTGGTTTATCATTGAACTGAATCGAAGCAAGCAGTACCACAAGTTGGTGTAGTCTTTTCCATGGTCGCCGTTTCCTTTCGTTGCATAAAAACTGTTTGACCTTGTTTTCGCAACTTGTTAATATTGTCAGGAAAACCTAGAAGAACGCAGCTAGTCTGGAGTCCCTTGTATGCATGATAATTTCCAGAGTCAGACCGTGGATGGGATACATTTTCACGTGGATCGGCTTCATTTGTCTCTTTGACTACTAGTGTTGTCCTAAGAATGGCAAGACTCAATCACGATGCCCTCGAAACATCTGGAAATTTACCAATCCACGGCCCGATTCTGGAAATTATCATTCATATTATGGACTCCGGACAAGATGCTTTCCTCTAGGTCTTCCTACCAATATCACCAAGTTGCGAAAACAAAGTCAAGCTACTTTCCTCATAGTGATATGCAATTGTCTACTAATCCTGATGGGTAATTGTTTTTAAACATTATATCCTTCAATCTGCTAATCTCCTGGTCCCTGTGCTTTACGTCTGCTAGTCGCAGACTCGTTGTTACTAGTGATTTCATAACTCCTATTTCGACTCTATGTTCATAGTTGTAGAATAAATTAATAAGAAAACGCGTGTGAGTGCGTTTTCTATATACTTCTCTACCTAAATTATAACCTTCTTTGCTCACTAATACACCCAAAAAAGGCAATTTATTTTCCTTTTCTAACTCCATAGTAAACTTACTATTGGCATCCATTCTATTTATTAGCTCAGAGTCTCCACTCTAACTATCTTTGCCATAGATATGACAACCAAAATGGTGTGGTCTTTTGTATGGTCGCAGTCTCTTTTCCTTGTATAGTCGTTATTTGACCTATTCGCCCATTCGAATCAACTAGACATGTCACATTTGTTAGTCAGCACACAAGAGACTAGGACATAAGAAAGTCATTGACTTCGATTTAGGGATAGAAGCGCGAGAGGTACGGCGGAGATCATTGATAGTTGGCTATTAGTAGATAAGTTTGATCATAGACGTGGTCTATAAATGGTTTGGTTAGGAGATTTACTCGCATGTGCGGCACAGGGACAAGACTATACACCCTATCAGAGGAGTGAGACAGAGTGTAGAACATAACTCCTCGAGTGACATGGATATGGTGGCAGCGATAGAGTGAAATCACTGAATCAAGCAGATAAGGGAAGGATCTTACGGATCCTGGATCAACACTTTCAACACAGATGGGGAGATGAGGGGACCAGGGGAGTGTGAATAGGTCTTACTAAATCCGGCGCAAAGGGCACAACTTAATTAGGTTTAGATAAACAGATAATAAATTGTGGTATAGGATAGGTGAATACCCCAGGACAAGTGAGATACCACAACTGTTTAGCAGACAATTGGTCAAAGGATCGACTTCACTTGTGGTGCTAAGACTGGCAAGACTCGCTGACCATGCCGGCTACACATCTGAGAATGTAACAAGTCCACTGTTCGACTCTGGAAATGATCATGCATACTATGCACTCCGGACGAGTTGCATTCCTCTAGGTCTTCCTGCCAATATGACCAAGGGTAAACACCTAGTATACAACGAAAGGAGACCGCAACCATATAAAAGGTCACACTATCTTTGCCTCCTTATTTTCGATTTAAATTAGTTCTGCTATATTTTACAGGAGATTTATATCGACCAATTTTTGTTAATCTCTTGTTGCTGTCTAATATTCTAGCATAAAATTCGCTAGACCTATTCTTTTTTATTTGTCTGTAAATTCATTCGGCATCCGTTATGTTTATAGCTTCCATATCCATAGGCTGCAACTAGTCAAAGTCTCATGTGAATGTATTCCCATTGATTACTCCGCTAAATGAGTATAGTAAGACTAAAGGAGTTTATGAACATATTAAGGGCCACGCATCTCCGTTTTATAGATTATTTCTAAGATATAGTGAATTATAATTTATATTCGTGTTAGAGTAGGGTTTAGAGACTACCAGTATAATTGAGCCAACCTAATAACAATAAATTTTCATTGTTGCATAAACCTGCATATACCATTCGTATAATCTTTATGTAAGAGGCGAAATGACAATAATGCTAGAATAGTGGTCTCTCAAAATTCTGTTAGCAAGTATAAATGCTCTTCGGATACATATTTATTTCGTTATTTTCATATACATAATCATCCAATGATTTAACTCACGGCCAAGTCCATAAACTCGGAATAAAAATGCCACACAAAGCCATCATGGCTGCTTTTATTTACTTATTTCCTCAAGTTGTAATGGATCTATCAATATCGAATCCAAGATTTTAATTCGTATATTCCCCTCTATCTTCTGTCTCAAAAAGTTTTCCTGTTAGATCAGGGAATCTATACAATCAGGAGAAAAAAATCCCTTCAGGACAAAAGGCAGTTTTGAAGTCAATCGTAAAATTAAGCCCTGAAACGCCATCTCAAGCCATATTGATAAATCCCTTTAAAATTACCCTTGCAAATTGCTTGCATCCACAATTCAATGTTATCCTAATAGATGAATCATTTATAATTTTTTTAAATTTTATTAACTTAATGAAAATAAGTATTTAATGTATAAAGAAGCAAACTGTGAAGCTGAACTGTCATCCCCGTAAATATTCTTTGTGTACACAGTCCCGAGAACCAACCTACTCTCTCTACTTATCAATATTTCATCGAAACTGGAATCGCTTTTATTCATAGGTAATATGCTATGCTTTTCAAGGACCAAATTCACACTAGAGCCGTCGCAAATGACTAGCTTTATGTCCTCTGAGACCAAATTCATGACCTATTAGTACTCTACGAAGTTTAAAATTGATCTTTTTTCGGCTTTTATTAGTCGTCAGTCAGTGCCAACTGCTTAGGTCTGCTAAACATTTTTATGTGAATCCTCGCCAGCAATCCGATTCACTTTTGGAATGCAGAAGAAGTTTAATTGAGGTGAATGCTGCAGTCCATCCTTTAAAAGAACGCCTTTAGAATGTATTTCACATTAAATCCAAAAAATATCAAGCCTTTTCTTCAATTTATTGGCATATTTTATTTTAATCCCCTTAATATCATATTAAGTTAACTAATCCTTTAAGCAAATCGGATTTCCGATAAGAGTTATAATTACATAAAAAGGTCTGATTTGCTAAGAAATTGATTTGGAGAAGACGATTCTATACATTAGTTGAGTGTTTACTGACATATTACCTAAGTTATGACTTAGTGAATAGTAGATTAGTACTTAAAAGAAACAATCGGAAAATGATTATATCTTATGTCGTAATTTTCACCGCATGCTACTATAGCAAGTGATTAATATATTAATCACGTTGACGAGTGTATGAATCTTTAATGTGCATTTTAATTTAACTCTGTAATGCATTGTGAAAGTCCGCTCTTATTCGTATTCCTTCCTCTATTTCCATTTGCCTTTCTATTTCTCCGCTTTTAGAACGATCCTCTAAAGGTCAAGTTGCTACAGTCCAAGCGTCAGACTACGGCTCGTGCTAGACAGACTTCCCTTGTTGGCAAAGTCAACAAAACAGATCACTTGGGCCAATCAGAGCAGGAAAAATCTATGCAACAGTGTCGAGGAAATGCTCGCGATAGAGCCCGAGATTTGAGTGACGGTGAACCAGTCTCTCCTTTGACGCCTGAAGATGCAGAAGGGGAAACAGATGTGATAGAAGGAAAGATGTTGGAGGTTGAGCCGAGTGTCGGGCATCAAGATGACAGCGTATCACTTAATAAAAATTCAGATAAGGCCAAATTGATGGTAAGCTAGAAAGCTGTGACCTAGTGACACAATTCCTAGTTTTGGGTTTGGAATCTTGAATTCAGGCATTAAGTACATTTAAATATCAACAATAAAGACATTTATGCTGCTCTTTTATAAATCACTTGTAGCTGTAGACATAAATGATGTTTTTAATTTATAGGTAGGTTTTCGAAACTACTAGTAGATAATAATTAAGAGATGTGTTCACTCTATTTCGCTTAAAATGATCAAGGTGTGGTAATTGAATTTTTCCAACAATGGCACGAGTTGGCCTACGTTTCCATTAATCTTTGCATAGCCTTGCTTCCCAAATAATAATTATTATCTAGAATGGAGTGGACTGCACTTTCTACCTCGCCTAGATCACATGCTGGAGGGCATTTGCTTTGACCAAGTTTATGCCCAGCCGTTGGGGCATCACTCTTTTCCCCTGTCCTCCTAGCTTATAATGCTGCATCTCTTTCTCTCAATCCAACTTTATCCGTGTTTTTGTTTGCTTTAGTTATGGCTTGGAGTGTGTCCTGTTGTTGAATAGATGCCCTTAGTCCAAGCGTCTTCTTTTGACTGTCCTTTCTGAATATCCAAGTCTACCCAGGCAGTACGAGGAATTTTTACCGGTTATTGCTTTTTCCAATCTGTTGATTAATTTCCTTTAAAAAAAGTTGTCCACAGTTCCTTAATCTTGAATTTTCTTGTGTCCTCAGCATATGAAACCAGGCTTTCCGTAGCATTCCAGCCAATCGAGTGGCCGGTGTTGAGAGTGTTTTTAACTGTATTCGATCTTTCCGTATTCATTGTCCTGCACAGTCACTCGTGATCTTTGATCCTTGTGTTGATTGTCCATCCGGTCTCTTCAGTGTATTTTGCTGTTTATCTTCAATGTATACATATGTTTTGGATACTACCAATAGATCTGATATAAGAACCAACCGGGCCGACCACATGATTTACTGGAATCTAGCATAAAGACTGGTCTCATATGCGGAGAACACAAAAAATGAAGATTAAGGAACTATGGCTATCTTCTTCTGAAGTATCTTAACGAATATGAGATTGGAATGGAGACTAGTTGCTGGGACTTTCTCGTACTGCCTGTCTAGTCTTGGAGATTTAGTGCAGATAGCTGGAAAAAGGCGCTTGAGCCAAGGGCATCTATTCAGCTGCAAAAAAGGATCATGATGGACAAATGAAAGTCAAAAGAAGGCAATGGTAGTGAGAGGATTCAAGCCTAGAATCGACTTCAAATAGTTGCCAGTGGGGGTCCATCTTTGAAATGTAGAGTCAGCCCTATAAACGTTCAAACTATTTAGGGGCGCGAGGTCAAAGATCCATATATATTTCGAACCTACTTGGGTATGTAAACTGAGGCTGGGGCCCAATATCTATTGGTCCCCTGTGTGTGTGTGTGTGTCTTTAGCGAGAGGTGGTGGCTAACATGCCTGATTAAGCTAGTCACCAATCGACGTACACAGACACAAGTGTCTGGAATCGTAGTATTATGTGGGACTGTCAACATGAGAGACAAGAATGTGCTTCTAGTGGTTCAGAAGTGGAGAAGCAAAGCCGTCAATCCTTACTCTAGTGGTTCCTAGTAGAACAAAACCCAGGGATCCAAAGAATGAGAAAAAGAGAGTGGACATAGGAAAGAAGATAACTGAGACATGGATTTGAAGCCTAAGCATGAGAATTGCCGTTTTTTAAAACCCTTGAATGTGATGGTAATGGGGTCCGGAATCGACGACCTTTAGACAGCCAGATAGACTGTGGTGTATATATGTGGACCATTGAAAAAGTGACAAGTTAAATTAAAGTCTCAAGCCCTTACAAACGCACCCCGTGAATGACATATGTAACTGTTGCTCAGGGAATTTACGCTTACTTAAATCTACTTAAAGTGACAATATGCGAAATTGGAGAAGACTAGAGTAAAAAATAGTATAAATGAGTAAATGAGTGATATAAGGTAGGGTTGAAACAGTGTCAGCGCTTGAAGCCATGACAAATGGGGCGAGGAGGATAGCCACAGCTCTTGAACAAAAAGTTGTTTAAGTATATTGCCTCCACTTGCCAATTAACTAAGCTGTAACTGTGCTAAGGATGCCGACGAAACGTTTGAGAATGCACCAAATCAATTGTTTAATGCCTGACATGATCATGAATGCTATAACAGAGGATGCAGAACTAGGTGTGTTCGATAAATTATCCCTATCGCTCCAAACAAGTTGCGAAAGCAAGGTGAAACTTATATAATTTGAATTACTACTATGTTATCTGAATTATCGGGTTATTTTATTTTCCCTTGTCCGTTTCTGCACTTTTAAGTGCATTATTTTTGTGAATGCTTGTGTTTATATTAATTAAAAAATAATTCAAATGCTGTTGAATAGGTCGCATTCTTTTTGTAGCCAGTTCTATTCCTTCACTTTTCTAAAGTCTACTAATTAGCCATGCATAAATTATGCACGATTCTTTGCTTTCATTTATGTACTGCGCGAATTTTGTGACTTATTAGCATCAATCGGCTCATTAGACTTGTGCTTCGCAGTATTATTTTTTCTCTGCATTTCTTTGGCTTAAACGCATTTAATTTCCGTTCAATGGCTGCCAATATTTTGCTACTTCTAAGTATTTAATTAAGATATTCTTTTACAAATTTATCCAAAATTTCATTCACTTTAAGGCTTCTGCATTAGCAATATTATTTTTCTAGAAGATAACATTTTCCTTTAAAAATAGGTACTATTTCATAAAGTGTATTTATTCATATTTAAATAAGCTTTATTTTGTACTTATCTCCTTCAAGACAGGGCACGATAGCAAAGAGCCCGTATACTGTTCTTACGCTATCTTGTTTAGTTCGATATCCCACTTATTAAGCATATAATATTATTATCTAACCTTACTATAGGATGAATGCTTTGAATAAG